CTCCCCGCCCTGCCGCCTGGCTGCCTCCCCAGGACCCACTCAGCCCCCTTGGCTCCCCGCAGCCCTGCCCGGCCTGGGTTGGCCTTCACAGCGGGGCCTGAGCCGAGTGTCCCAGCCCCTCGGGAGGAGGGTGCAGGGGGCCCGGGGAGAGGGTGGTGTGTTGTTAAACTGCCCACTTATCACCTGCTGCCGGGACAGGACTGGCCTGGCCTATAAATAGCCCCACTTCCTATACCTGGCCCTGCCTGGCGGGACCCGGGCCTGCCCGTCCTGAGTTATCTGACCCTCAAAGAAAAACAACTGGCCTCTGCGTGCCCTCTGGACAGTGCCCTAGGCCCGGACGGGCAGATCCTGGGGCTGGGCTGGGTCGGTCACACTGCAGCGCAGCCCCGACCAGCCGGTCCGTCCGTGTGACCAGCCGGTGGTTGATCTCTCTCAGCCTCCGTTTACGCATCTTTCAAACCCGCTGGGCGGGTGAGAGTGCCGGTGCGGGCGGCCCGAGGCACCTGGCCACGCTCAGTGCCCGCGCGTCCGCCACGGGGTGGCTGGAGAGAGGACCGGACCCAGCGGGCAGTCCACCTGGCCCCCGAGCACGTCTGAGTCCCCGAGCCGGCCGGCAGGCTCTGCCGGCCACCGCCACCCGGACTTCTAACAGCCTACAGCTCGGACCAACGGACACTGAGCGACGAGAGCCACAGCCTCAGAGGCCGACAGAGCGGGCCCTGCGGCTGGAGCCCAGCATAGACGGGGGCCCCTGGGACACCTCGCTTTGAGGCCCGCACTGAAGCATGCCAGCCTGTCAGACAGCTCTGCCTGCACTCATTCAGTCCTTCATTCATTTCTCCATTCATCAAATACTTTGCCAGGTACCGGGTCGGTGCCTGAAACGGAGCAAAGCGTAGAGCCAGACGTGAACCCTGACCCTGACCCTGACCCTGACCGTGGGGGACGGTGCTGGCTGCCTCAGGGGTCAGCACTGGGGGAGCTGAGCTTGAAGAAGGAACATGTGAAGCCAGAACCCAAGCAGCCTGACTGAAAGCAGGGCTCCGAGACCCCTGTGCACACGCCGGCGCCCGAGGGGCTGAGGGTGCCATGGGAAGAGGGCACCAGGAGGGGGCACCACCCACAGCCGGGCACACCCGCCCCAGCCAAATGGGGGCGGGGAGTCCACCCTGACCGAGGACACTGGACCCCGCCGCCGGGCTCAGCAGACACACGGCGTGGGCTCTGTCTCCCTCACGATTCCAGGCCCAAGGCCGGGAGGGCGACAGGCAAGCCAGGCCCCAGCGCAGCCACAGCAGCGGTGCGGGGACAGGGACTGGGAAGGGCGGCCGGGCTCGGGAGGACAGAGGAGCCGCCTGCAGGTCACCAAAAGGCGGAAGATGCCCTGGGGGCTACGTCCGAGCTGGAGCTGAAATTCAAGCCCGGTGCGTGGCTCTGTGGTGGAGCGGCAACCTACGAACCTACAGGTCACAGTTCGATTCCTGGCCAGGGCACGTGACCGGGTTGTGGGCTCCATCTTCAGAAGGGGGCGTGCAGGAGGCAGCCGATCGATGATTCTCTCTCATCCATGTTTCTATCTCTCTCTCCCTCTCCCTTCCTCGCGCTCTAAAATAATCATTAAAAAACATTTAAAAAAAAAAAAAAAGATGACATTCATAAGGGGGTGAGCAAGTGCCCTGCGATTTGAAGCGATGCGCTCAGCAGTTACTGAGTGGCCGCCCCAGGCCAGGCACGGACCTTGGCCTTGGGCTTTAGAGGAAATGGAGACAGACCCAGTCCCAGCTCTCACAGAATTGCTGCTTCCTGCAGGAGATAGAGAACAAGGGAACACAGAAATGACCAAGAGGCTGGAGGAAATCATATCGGGGCCCTAAAAACGAGGTGACCGGGTGAAGCACCTCGGGAAGAGGGCAGTTCCTTCGGAAAGACCGACAAGGGCCGGCACCTGAGTGATGAAATGGAGCCAGTCATGGGAGGGATGGGGGAAGCACTCAGGCAGAGGGCAAAGGACATGCAAAGGCCCTGAGGCAGGAAGAGGCTTGGCAAGTGGGGGGAGCTGAACACAGAAGGTTGGAGGAGAAACTGTGTCCATCCTTCTAAGTCCTGGGGAGGAATCTGGTTTGGTCTTACTTGCAGCAGGAAGCCATTAGTTTTAGGTGGGCAGTGACGTGATGTAAATTCTGTCTTAAAACGCTGATTCTGAGCGTGTGGGAGAGTGGGTCCCAGGGAGGAAGAGCAGAAGCAGGGAAACCACAGGAGACGGCAGAGGGTGATCTTTCCTGACTCAGGGAGGAGGGCTCCCACTGGTTTAATGGAGCATCGGCTGTGGCCCCGACACCTTCCCAGCAGGCACAGGGCTCAGGTGTGCTGAGGGCCCCAGCAGAGGCCAGTGCAGGAGCCTGAGTGGGAAGTGATGCCGCGTGGACAGTGTGGTGGCCGTGGGACGACAGAAGGGCATGGACCCAGGACCCACGGATGGCCTGGCTCAAGGGAGGGAAAGGGAGTCCAGGAAGCATCCCGCGGGATGGGCCTGCGAGAGTGAGCGGCTGGATGGGACCCAGGAGGCCGTGCCGGGTCCTCGCCATTCATCTCCCTGGAGAAGGGAGGCCGCCTTTGAATCCGCCACCTTCCCGCGCACGGCAGGGTGTGCGGGGCCTGGAGACTGTGCAGGGCCAGGAGACAGAGGAAGAGCAGCAGCTGAGGAGGACCCTCCAGCCGGGGTGTCTAGGACAGAGGACACTTGAGCCCCCCGGGGGCCAGCCGAGGGGCAGGAGGCTCCCCCCAGGAGCAGAGCTGAGCGAGCTCAGATGGTGTGCACTGACCATCCTTTCTTCCTGTGGGCAAGTCAGGCTCACCCCCAGGGCAGGCGGGTGACCACAGCACGGAGCCAGCTGGCCCAGCCTGTAGCCTGGAGCTGAGGGACCCCATCAAGGTGCAAAGCCCAGGGGACCCTACTGGTCATCCCTGGCAGCGACTTCCTGAAGGCCTGCTCCGGGGACGATGGCATCACGCGGCCCCTGGCTGCTCAGAGGCCGCAGGTCAGACAGCCAGTGTCCCCACGGGAAGTGAGGCCGGGGAGCCACCGTGGAGGGAAGCGGAGCTCTGTTCTGCCCTGGGGAGCAGCTGGCTTGGACGGCCGCCCCCAGTCTGAGCTCCTGAGACCAGCAGGCCAAACAGTAACACGATCCCCGTGTGCGTCCTCCTGGGAATCTGTCCCGGGAGGCCCCGGGCACTGGCATCGGCGGTTCCAGAAAAGCAGGGCAGAGAGCACAGAACCCGATGCTTTCGGGGGCGAGGCCACCCACCTGCACAGCCACCACGGCCTCCAGGCCACAGCCCCCCAAGATCTCAACAGGGACCCAGAGCCACAACTTCACCCCCAGAACAAAGCGGGTCTCCGCCGGGGCCGGGCTCGCCTCTCGCTGATAGAACAGCCCATTCATTCACTCAAACAGCCGTCTTCGCCCCCCTCGGCGGGGCCAACGCAGCCCAGGAGGCCTCCCAGAGCTTGCTGGCCAGGCACTGGAGGGGGCACACGCTTCATGCCAGCACCCCAGGGCCCAGGGCACCGCCGGAGCTCTTGCTCATCAGGGAGGCGGAAGAACTTCTAAAAATACATGCGAGGCCGTGTAAGTGAGTCAGGACGAGCCAGCAGGGGAAGGTGAAACAGAGGAATGAGCACAAAGGACACCGAGCCCTGCCCGGGGATGGGACAGGGGAGAGGTCAGCCGCAGGGGCACTCACTCACTCACTCACTCATTCACTCACTCACTCATTCACTCATTCACTCACTCATTCATTCATTCATTCACTCATTCACTCACTCATTCACTCACTCATTCACTCACTCATTCACTCACTCACTCACACACACATGGAGCCGAAACAATGACACACGGGAGTGGAGTGATCCGGGCACCTGGCTGAGCCGGGATCCAGGGAAGGCTCCTGGAAGCAGCAGCACAGCCTTGGGACCTCAGGGAGGAGCAGGACCGGCTGGGATTCCCTGGGAAAGGATCCTAGAGAGGAAGATGCAGGGTGCCCATCCCCATCCTGACCGCTCTTTGTTTTCTTTCAGCCCATGACACTGGTCTCGTGACCCTACAAGTTGCCTTCAACAACCAGATCATCTCCAACTCCGTGGTGTTTGAGTACAAAGCGCGGGCCCTGCCCACACTCCCCTCCTCACAGCATGACTGGCTGTCACTAGACGGTAAGAGCAGTGCGCGCGGTCACTGTGCCAGGCGCCGTGGGAGAGGGACACGGAGGGACCAGGTGTGGGAAAGGAGGACGTGTCCGGGTGTCCACGGTCCTGACCAGAGTAGGTGTCCACTCCAGGAGGCCGGACTGGGTCTCTGCCCTCAGTGGGTGTCTCCCGGGGAGAGAAGAGCATGTGAGCTTGGCCTGCAGCTGTCACTCCTGGCAGCGGATCCGAGTGGCCAGTGGCCGGACAAGCCCCCTGGTCGCTGCGAGGCCAGACCCCGAGCAGCAGGGTCCTAGCACCCTCTGCTGCCCCCAGGGCTGTTCCTTGAAGCGCCTGGAGGCCACCATCCAGCCCCCAGCGCTCAGAGACAGAAGCGTGTGGGAGGCTGGGCGAGGCGTGGGGCTGGGCCGCTCTCAGGTTCCGAGCCTGGCCCTCGAGAGAGGCTGTGTGTGAATGCTCCTGCCTCTTAATGGTGAGGAGCCAAACCTCCTCAGGGATGCCCGGAACGCCCGCCCCCCGTGTCCAGGCCGGTTTTACTTTCCCTCTGCCCTGGAGAACCTCTGTAATACCCCAGGATTATGACTGTGGCTGAGGGGGTGGGCCAGGGAGCACCCATGGCTCCACAGGGGCGGCAGGACTTGCTGGCCAAGGACAGGCCCCGAGAGCTGCTGGCCGTGTCCTTGGGGCTGGTGACTGTTAGCTGCGCCCCCTGGGGCACCAGGGCCTCCGCACACAGAAGCTGCCAAAGATGGGCGGGGCCGCGAGCTCAGAGGGTGCCTGCCCTTCCGGGCATGGACGTGCGGAGAAGCCCGGGGTTGGCCTGGGTGCTGGGCGATAGTCTCTGCACCCGGACTGAGGGGAAGGGGAGAGATGGCTGCACGCGACCTCAGTTCCAGGACAGCCCGCAGAGCGCCAGCCTGTGGGGTACGGAGCTGGAGCCCTCACCAGCCGAGACGCTGGGTCCTGGCTAAGCTGACCGGGCCCGCTGCAGGGTCAGTTTCTGAGCACCCGCCTCTCCAAGGCCCTTCGCCTTCTCTCCCCAGACTCCCCTTGCTGCCGACTGCCTGCCGGCGGGTGTCTGGGCTTGACACACGTCTGGCCAGCTTTCCTGAGCCCCCCAGGGTGCCAACCTCAGCACCGGCCCAGTCCCGGCCCAGCAGTGACAGGGTGCCTGGCAGCCGCCCTGGCCACTGAACCTTCTGAACTGTCCCGGGAGGTGGCTTTGGGTCAGCGGGCATCTGCACCCTGGCAGTGGCTGCCTGGGAGCACCAGGCCGGCCTTGGCAGCGACCCTGGCTAAGGCTGAGCCAGCCCGAGCTGCGAGGATGGCCTGCGGGGTGTAACAGAGAAGGGCAGGCTGACCAGGGGCTCTGGCTCAGGAAATCCGGTTTCAGTTTTGCAGGACAAATAGGAAGCGAGCAGGGAACTCCACCGAGCCCTGAGTGAGCAGGTCCCTCGCCAGGTGGCCTGGAGGATGCTGGGACCAGTGTAGGCAGGACCCGCCTTGGAGATGGAGTCCTTTAGAGCCAGATCTCAGCCAGGTGGTGCCTGGGAGCGCAGGGAACACCAGCAGCCCGGGGAGCCCAGGAGCCAGCTGCACCAGGCGGTTGCCCGCAGGGGGAGAGGGGTGCTCTGATGGAGGCCTCTGGGAAGGAAGCCACCCTAACTGCTTCACAACAACACACCCAGATCCTCGGTCATACCAGCCCACCCCCGGGCGATGGGCCTGCTGCCAACTGGCCGCTGGCTCTCCAGCAGCCCCCTCCCTGGGCCCCAGAGCTCTGGCCTCCAGTTGCCATCAGCATCCCCCAGCCCTGGCAGAATCCACAGGCCAGATGGCAGGTTTGGGGAGGGGACGTGCAGGGGGCGGAGCAGATCATCCCTGAAGGCCCCGGCGTCCCTTTCCCTGGGTCTTGGCCAGGTGTCCTTTCTAGTAACGGGAGGGGAAGGGTGGCCAGGACAGAGGCGCCTGAGACCCACCCTGCGTGGGAGAGCAGTGACATCCCTCTCTCCTTTTGTTCCCTGAGCGAGTGAACACAGTGACTGACCCACCCAAGGATCATTTTCCCAGCCCTTCCCCAGTCTGATAAAT